TTCATTCATAGAATGAAGAATGTAAAATCCAATTGTCCAATCAATATTTTTTAACGGTTACTTATAAAAAAATTAACTTGTAATCGGTTCGGGGCAAGTCGACAACGTAAATACTATACCCATCCCGCCCTAAACCGAGTTATTAAAATCAAATACCATATCCACCTCCATTGAATTGTCGGATCGATTTTTTCACCCCGTTCAGTTTGGTTAACCACGATTTTCGATTTTGATAGTTTGAATTGCCATCCCTATTCAAGAACATGAGAAGAACTAAGAGTGTAGTTGGTTTGCCATTTTAAAGCCATTCTCAATTTTCAATTTTTTAAAACACTCAAAATGTATCTGATATATCATTTTCAAAAATATGTTTTCGAAAATAAGGAAAATTTTACAAAATAAGATTCAAAATGACTTTTTGACATTTTCAATGAAAACACTCAAAAAAAACTCCATGTTATCAAAATCGGCCCGACCTAACCGATTCAATTGGTAAAATTGGGAACCAGTTCCAAAATTGGGTCAATCATGCCCGATTAACTACTTATGACTAAGCTACTTAAAAACCTACTCAATCGTCTGGTTTAACCGAAAACCGATGAACCGATCGTGGTTTTGACGTTAAAAAAACTCAATGTTATCAAAATCAGCTCTACGCCGACGGATTCAATTTGTAAAATCGGGAACCAGTTCCAAAATCGGGTCAATCATTCCCGATTAACCACTTATGACTAAACCACTTTAAAACCCACTGAATGATCTCGTTTAACCGTAAACTTGTGAACCGATCGTGATTTTGTAGTTTTCATTTATTTTTTTAATTTTATAAATTTCAACTTCATAAATGAGCCTCATAAGCAACAATTCAAAGACCCATGGAGAAATATTGTATAACATATTCCTTTTATAGATACACCTCTCAAATAATTTTATAGACTTTCAATGTGGAATAGTACATTTTATGTGCTTCTCTCCAATGGTTTCATAAACTTTAGATATGGAATAGTAGCATAACAAAAATATTAACAAATTATAAAATAATGAATCTAATTAACAAATTATTAATATAAAATTTTTAAAAATTTTATTGTTTTCATAGGATATTTTTGTATGTATTTATTGTGTCCGGTTGGATCCCAATTTTACCCTGTTGAACCTTTTGACTCTTGACCCTTCACCTTTTCCAAGTCCATGATCGGGTAGATTTTCAAAACATTGAAAAAAAACTCAAAATAAGGAAAATAAATTTAAAATTTTTTTCAAGTTAAGATAATTAATAAAATCACACAAAACATACTCAAATACAAATACCCATCTCTCTCTCTCTCTCTCTCTCTCTCATTCGTCCCTAACTTCTCCAAGAACCCTCGTGTAGAATTCATCTCTCTAGTGCTATTTCTCAATCTTACAATAATTCCATTTTTTTTTTTACCAACTTTAAAATTTATATGTTGTTTTATCATATATTAGCATAAAATTGATATGTTTTACTAAGTAATCAAATTAATTGAAAATAAAAAATGTGATCAAACTATTTCTAAAATTTTTAAACCAAATGCGTCTTCTAATTTTTTATTTTGAACAACAGTTTTTTACATTGACAAATCAAACGCGTTTCATGCAATCTTAAAACAATCCCTCAAAACTAAAAAGAGAATGAATTCAAAACAAAAAACAGAAAATAGAAAAGCAAACCAAACACATTCTAATTCTCTTATTTTAAGTTTGGTGTGTGCATATGGAAAGCTAAGATCATATCAATTTATATCAAACGTGCTCTTGATGTATTGCATTCAAGCATATGATCGTGCTGGATGCATAACATTTATAGAGTCGCTGGGAAAGCAAATGAGAAAAACTTGACATTAAAAAGAAAGAAAAACAAAACAAAGAAAGGACGGGGGAAAATACGGATTTCTTATAAAAAAGAAAAGATTCCCAATGTCTCCAACCAACACACGGCTTGCAGCAGGGATTTCCTTCTCCAGACCATAAAGCACCCTGAAGAATAATATGTATAATGCGATCTAATTATATTGCACAACAACAGATCATTTGTTTCATAGCTTTTGCTTACAGTTTGTAGCAAGACATACATGTAAAGAATTTTATTTTATTATTATTATTATTTTTTTTTCCAACAACAAGAATAAAGGAACTCAGCAAAGAACATTTATCTTCACTGTCTTTGTTAGGTACAGATATGCAAATCAGATGGAAGAGAAAAATAGGTCAGAGAAATCTGAAAATATCATTGCAGACAATGTGAAATTAGTTCATCTCCTGAAGATGTCAAGACATGTACAAAGTGAAAAACACGAGTTTTACCCGACATAATGTGGGAAATGGGAACAAGAAAAAATAGCACGTTAACAAAGCAAAATAGGCACAACAATATTGTCTATGACAGAAGATTCAAGTCTGACCAAACAAGAATGTTTCAAGATAGGGTGCAGAGAAGGGGCTGTGGGGGATGAAGCAAGTTAGTAGTTGTCCAATTGATACCAGTATTCAACTTAAATCTCTCTTTAAGAGAAGGTCATGCCTTCAAATCCTGGGAATGCAACAAAAATTCGTGAGGGGTAAGATAGGCTTATACCCTCCATAGAGAACAATACGCAACTTAACGGCTTGAAAATAGAGGCTGGGTAATTACCCCAAAAAAAAAAAAAAAAAGAACGTGTACTTGCAACTCAATATTGAGGACTGTTCTCAAGAGGGTTGTGTCGACTGGAAATAATCTTAACAAAACTTAATTGCATTCAGACTATCAAGATGCTACTATAATACTGGATAATTCAGCTAGACCAGTGCTCGAAATGACTTGGACGAAAAAAGCAAAAATATGCACCTGCTGCCATGCTATGAACGCTCTCAGGTGCTGATTTTAGAACAAGCTTAGCAAAATTTCTCCAAAAATTTGGATGCCACATGACTTAATTTGAACAAACTTGGCAATACATTTCTAGAGATTCCTGGGAGTTGTGTAATATGCAGTAATAAAAGAAGTCAAGGAACAATGTACATAGATAACACACAATTTATAATCTTATTTGCATGTTCGGCCAAGCTTAAAAATTTTACTTGCAAGTAAATAAGTACATGTTAAATTAATCAATCTTTAATATTGATCAAAACGGGAAATGTCACTATTTGGCAGTAAGCTAAGAGTTACTTTCAAAATAAGTAACTTTTTACTTTAAAGAAAAAAATATATATATAAAAAATAAAAAATAAAATAAATGTAATTTATTCTGGTATGTATGCAAACAACATTTACTTATTTTTAAGCTCAGCCCAACAAGCTAAGGCTGTAGCTTCAATTTGTCTCTTAGGCATACGTCGATGAACAATCCATTGTCTTCTCTCAAGTCATCTTATAAGCAAACAGAACAATATTGTGTTTAACCAGTATTTGTTCTGTTTTTCACAGCTTCACAATATAACTTCACCTCCATCCAAAATTATCGTGACAGCAATGAAGGATGATATTTTTAAACTAGCAACTTCACACGGCTACATTTTAACTTCTTTTAACAACTTCAGAGCAACAGCTAATCATGATTGTTTTACTAACTAATAAAGAAAATCAATGCCATGCATACCCTTTAATGATGAATCCCTATCAAGAATGCATAATCTCCATAATATGGCTATATAAAGCCCACTATTAGGCCTCCATCTCTTAAAACTCATTTTTTCCAAACTCATTTTCAACCAAACATTTTTATGGGATCTACAACTTTTATCAACTTTCCAACCACACAATTCATTAACTTTTATCAAAATCTACTAAAAATATGATTTTTATCAAAACTAGACAGGGCCAAGACAGAGAATACAAAACACCAGAGCTCTAAAATTCTGAGCAAACTAATGAAAATAAGGACAACCTAAAAACTTAAATTCTAAAGATTTTCTGTAAAACCTGAATTTATGATAGGTACCATCATAATTCAAAGTTCTGGACAACCTGACTCGGCTAGGCTGGATACTCAAGCAGCTACATGAGTCCACTGCATTTGTAGATCTATCTCCATTGGCTATCTGTAATATTAATTGTATAACCAGCACCAAATTAACAGAACAAGGCCAATGCCTGAAGTACAGAAAGAATGCACATGCTTAAGTCAAATGCCAAAGCATACCTTGCCTCATGGCCATGATTCTAACTATAACCAGAAGATAGTTTTTCAAAATCAAGCTAAAACTATAGGATGGGAAAAATATATGTTCCATGTACCATGGAGGCAAATATTTAAAAGCTCAATTAACATCATGTTGAAAAAGTAAACAACGTGATGAAAAGCTCCATTCAAGAATACGACATAATTTAATAATCTATGATACACTGATACAGACACATTGACATACAATTTTTAAAAAAGTACCATGCGTCGTCAACAATGTGATTAAATTTTCTAAAATTCTTCATTTATATAGTATATATTTAGTTTTATACTAATTATTAATTCCTTCTTTTTGAAATCTTTTAAATAAGTATATCTATTTTTTATTTAATAATAAATTTTAATTAAAAATAAAGAAATAAAAATTACCATGGTAAAGTATCCGAAGAGTGTCAATATCCGACATGTCGAACATCAACATGTCACCAGAGTTGAAGTATCCATGCAATACAGTTAATTAACTTTGACCATTAAATATTTATAGTAATTGCTTCATATAATCTTCTTTTGCTATAGACTCTCCCTTTAAAATCTAGCATCTGTCATCAACAACTCTCTGGTGTAACCTAACACCATAACTTCCTAGTTTGGTGGTTTGGATGCACATACACAAAGCACAAATAAGGCAAGGAAGGGGGCATCCGTCATCACCGTGACAGCAACATCTTTTCACACAAACATCAAGGAATATAAATTTCAAGGTACATCTTACTGTTGAAGCTCGTGACTTTAATGATCGTTACAATACTAGCCAATTTTCAATGCAAGAATGGAGTCCCAATATGATCAAAATGGTGCCTCAGGGTTAGCTTAAATTCTTTTGGTTAAACAAAAAATATGGAAACTTTGGTTGAGCAACACCATGAACCATCAGCAATTAGCACTGCTAACAGTGCAATAAGGATGGTTATATTTTCGGATTACAGAAGAAAATGTTAGTAACAAAAGGCAAAAAACCCAAATGCCCTATACAAATTAAGCTTAGCTACAAAGAGATATTTAAAGTCATAGTTTACAATCATTGCCTGTGCCTAAAATAATCCTTAAGAACTTGCACGTTTGATTACATCAACCGAAATCACATAACATAAATCCCGCTGAAGTGAGGTTTAGAGAATAACCAATGCCATGTCTCATTATGATTCCTTCAGAACATAATATATCATCAATTAGCAAGCTGAATACAATGATTATCCGACAACATAACAAATTAACCGGTACTCAAATGGTCTCACCACAGGTCTAATGATCATCTATAACTCAATTCCAACATACAACAATTCTATAATCAATGGAGTGAACAAAAACAACATATTAGTAGGAACAGTCAATTGCAACAAACACCTGCACTATTGCTGGTTGACAACATTTTCCAAGTACCATTTATAGGTATCTTTGAGTCCTTCCTTAAGAGAGACATTGGCCTTCCAACCTATTGCGGCAAGCTTTGAGCTATCCATGAGCTTCCTCGGCGTGCCATCTGGCTTACTCGAGTCCCAAACTATCTCCCCTTTATAATCCACCACATCCTTCACCAATTCCGCAAGCTCTTTTATGCTCACCTCCTTCCCACTCCCCACATTCACATGCTCCAACCCGCTATAGTTCTCCATCAAAAACACCACAGCATCCGCCAAATCATCCACATGTAGAAACTCGCGCAATGGCTTCCCGCTCCCCCACACCACCACTTCCGCTACATTGTTCACTTTAGCTTCGTGAAACCTGCGTAGTAAAGCGGGTAAAACATGGGAGTTCTCGGGGTGAAAGTTGTCGTTGGGGCCGTACAAATTCGTCGGCATTGCTGAAATCGCATCAAATGAATGTTGAAGACGAAATGCCTGGCACATTTTTATCCCAGAAATTTTGGCGATCGCGTACCATTCGTTGGTCGGCTCTAACGGGCCGGTCAAGAGCGAATTCTCGGAGATGGGTTGAGGGGCGAATTTGGGGTAAATGCAGGATGAGCCGAGGAAGAGGAGCTTTTTAGTATTATGCTTAAATGCAGAGGTAATTATATTGGTCTGGATTTGGAGATTAATGGTGATGAAATCGGCGGGGTAGGTATTATTGGCATGGATTCCGCCGACCTTGGCGGCGGCAAGGATGACGTAGTAGGGCTTGTGGGCGCCGAAGAAGTCGTCAACGGCGGATTGGATGGTGAGGTCGAGCTCTGAGTGGGTGCGGAGGAGGATATTGGCGTATCCCAGAGACTGGAGCTTGCGGACCACGGCTGAGCCCACAAGGCCACGGTGGCCGGCGACGAAAATTGGGGCGGACTTGTCTATCGGAGTTGGATCCATATACTGCAAACGGGATCCGTTAACTGTTAACGGGGATGTAGAAAATGAGAAAACCGAGTAAACGGAGTGTTAAAGTTGTCGGCAAAGTTTTGGTTGGACTGTTTGGGCCTTTCCAGAGAAGGGAGTGGTGCAAAACGTTTGAAATTTAGCGTTAACATCCTCAACTTATTAATTCATTAAACAAAACATCCATATCAATTATTTCCGTCCAAATTGGCCGTCAATTACGAGTTAATTGTTTCATTGGCTACTATACTTTACCCATCGTCACGGCTTACCCACTGAACTTTACGATGCTTCCCAATAGGCATTGAACTTATCTTCGATTCATTGAAATGGCCATCGAATGGATTCCATTTGTGATCATGTCCATGTGGAAGATGGAAAGCTGATTTGTCTGTTAAAATGGCAACCTCTTTGCACACGCGGATGAAAAATCATACAAACAAGAACCCACCTATAGTGATAAATAAAAACAAAAATGAACCCTACGAGGAATAGTTCAATGGTGCAAAGGACAGGAGTGAGGTTATCTCACGCCTTGCTGACAATCGTAGTGTGGGGGTTCGATTCCTGAAATATGAAATTGGACTCCTTATAGGCGCAGTGTACAAGTAGCTCTTGTTCCCTGACCTGTTGGAGCACATTCAGCGATTTACCTCCCTCACAAAGCTTTAAGGGCGGGACGATGGAGGCCTTCAAAGTTGGGGTTCAACCTTTTTTTTTTTTAATGCAACCAAAAATTATTCAACTACAGCTCTGGCTATTATATAGCCTCAGACTCTAACAAACTGAACTGAAAACATGCTCACGTATCGGCTACACGCAGCCACGTGTTTTAACAGAAAGTAAAGACAATATCAAAGCATAACCTAATCCTAAGGACTGGGTCTTTATTCAACTGACTAACAAACCTTAAAGACTTGGACAACGCTCTTCAATCTCTCCCTTAAGCTAAATTCAGTGAAACAATTTAGCTTACTTCACTAACTTCACACATTCCCAGCATGCTCCGAAGTTTAAGAAATGTATCAGACTTCAGGGGTTTAGTCATTATGTCAGCTACTTGTTCAGTACTTCCACAATGAACCAAAACAATTGAACCTTCCTTTGTGAGATCTCTAAGGAAATGGTACCTCACACGTATGTGTTTGCTACGTCCATGTAACACTGGGTTCTTTGAAAGTTTGATGGTGGACGTGTTGTCACATTTGATGCAAGTACAGTCCTCATTTTCATGCCCGAGCTCCTTCAGTATCCTCTTCATCCAGATTGCTTGGCACGCACAATTTGCTGCTGCGACAAACTCTGCCTCAGTTGTTGATAGAGTCACAATTGGTTGTTTCTTCGAACTCCATGAAATGGCTCCTGAGCTTAACAGAAAAGCATATCCACTCGTACTCTTACTGTCCTCCATGTCTCCGGCATAATCACTGTCAGTGAATGCCATTAGCTTGTCATCACCACCATTCTTGTAGTAAATGCCGTAGTCTACTGTACCTTTTAGATACCTGAGGACTCTTTTGGCAGCCTGCAAGTGAAGTTCAGTGGGTTTTGCCATATATCTGCTTAGTAGACTTGTAACGAACATTAGATCAGGCCGTGTAGCGGTTAGGTACATCAAACTTCCTACAAGCTGCTTGTAGTAAGTTTCATCAACCGTGACACCATGCTTATCTTTTCCTATCTTGGACCCTGGCACAATTGGACTGGTGACCATGTTGCTCTTCAACATTCCAAACCTTTTCAACACCTCCAATGCATATCTTCTTTGAAAGATAAAATTGCCTCCTGTTTTTTGTAACACTTCTATCCCAAGAAAATAACTCATGCTCCCCATATCAGTCATATCAAATTCTCTCATCATGGAAGTCTTGAATTCAAGCAACATATTAGCATCATCACTGGTAAAAATCAAATCATCAACATATAAACTTACAATGATGATCTTGCCTTCGTTGCTCCTCTTAGTGAACAAAGTTTGCTCACTTTCACATCTCTGGAAACCTTTACTGACAAAGGATGCTTCAATGCGGCTGAACCAAGCTCAGGGAGCTTGTTTCAAACCGTACAAGGCTTTATACAATTGATAGACCATATGCTCCTTTCCCTTCCTCTCATATCCTCTGGGCTGTTCTACATAGACCTTCTCATTCAAGTCTCCATGAAGAAATGCTGATTTGACGTCTAATTGAAAAATCCTCCACTTCTTTTGAGCTGCTAGAGCAATGATGGTTCTCACCGTATCTAACCTTGCCACTGGTGCAAATACTTCTGAGTAATCAATGCCTTCTCTTTGTGAATACCCCTTGGCTACGAGACGAGCCTTATGCTTGACAACTTCACCATGCTCATCACGTTTTGTTTTGTAAATCCATTTGACACCAACCTTCTTAGCTCCTGCCGGCAATTTAGTTAGAACCCAGGTTTTGTTCTTCTCGATGGAGTTGATCTCGTTATCCATGGCTTTTCTCCATTTATCTTCTCTTACAGCATCTTCAAATAAAGTAGGATCTTCACCTGCAGCATCTTGCACCATATACACTGCCTCCTCATCTTCACTCAGACCCTCACCACTCACATAATCTTCTACCCAGTATGGTGGTCTTCTTTCTCTCCCTTCAACTGTGCTACCCTCAAAGTGACCTACTTCTCTACCCTCATTGCCACTGACCTCGCTAGTGCTCCCAATAGCTTCAATAGAGTTTTCTCTACCCTGTCTTTCACCATTCACCTCAACATCACCTCTATTCTCTCCCTCAATTTCTTCATCACTGAACTCACCATCATCACCCCAATCCAACTCCGGTCTAATCTGCTCTTCATAGTTTTCACCCCAATCCCATTGCTTATCTTCCTCAAACACAACATCTTTACTCACAACCACTCTCTTTGTTTTAGGATCAAATAACCTATAACCTTTAGACTCTTCACTGACTCCCAATAAGATACAAGGAAAACTTTTATCATCTAATTTACCTCGTTTTTCTTCTGGGATGTGGACATGTGCAACGCAGCCCCAAACTCGAAAGTGAGCAACAGATGGTTTAACTCCACTCCATGCCTCTTGTGGTGTGACATCTTTCACAGCTAGGGTAGGGCACCGGTTCAAAACATAAAACGTCCAAACCACAGCTTCAGGCCAAAAAGGCTTCGGCGTCTTCTTGGCAGATAACATGGAGCGTACCATGTTCATTACTGTTCTATTCTTTCTTTCGGCGACGCCATTTTGTTGTGGCATATATGCAGTAGTGAGCTGCCTCTTGACCCCATGCTCTTTGCAAAAAACATTGAATTCATGTGATGTGAATTCTCCACCCCTGTCAGTCCTTAGGCACTTGATAGATACTTCTGCTTCCTTTTCCACTAATTTCTTGAATTTCTTAAAACAATTCAGTGCTTCTGACTTCTCAAGCAAAAGATACACCCATGATTTACGACTAAAGTCATCTATAAAACATAGAGTGTACCTTTTGCCACTATTGGATGCAGGGGAGATGGGCCCGCAAATGTCTGCATGAATCAGCTCCAGTACTTGACTTGCTCTCCACAAACTTCTTTTTGGAATGGCATTCCTGTGTTGCTTACCATTGAAGCAATCGGTACAAACAACCCGTGAAGCTCTAAATTGAGGTAGACCGTGCACCATTTTTCTGAATTGTAATGTCCTCAGCCCCTTATGACTCAAGTGTCCATACCTCTAGTGCCACAGGTATGTCAAATCCGAGGAGCTTGTATGAAAACATTCTTCTGGTTGAGGAAGGGATCTCATAGAGGCTGAAGCTTTATTCAGGATGATGAACATACGATTAGCACTCATCAGGGTGTACACAATCAGCCCTCTTTGTGGATGGTAAATGCTGCATGCTCCATCTCGGATCAGGATTGCCAAGCCCTTTTCTTGTAGCTGCCCAATGCTCAAAAGATTGTTCCTAAGATCTGGAACATAATACACGTCTCCAACAACAAAGGCAGCACCATTGAACACTAGTCTTACACTTCCCTTCCCAGCCACACTCATCCTAGTGTTATTTCCAAGTTTGACTGAATGTGTAAAACCAACATCCAAACTCAAAAACATACCTTGATCACTACACATATGATTTGAGCACCCAGAATCTAGGAACCAAGCATTGCTTCTTTTTGCCTCATGCATCTCCACATACGACATCAGGAGTAATTCATCTTCTTCATCAAGTTGTGCATAATTGGCCTCTTTGTTCCACTTCGGACATTCATACTGAAAGTGTCCAAGATTGTGACACTTAAAGCATTCTACTGTTGCTCTATTGAAGGACTGTCGCCTTTTCCCTCGACCTCTTCCTCTGAGAGTTGCTCTCCCCCGGCCTCTAGCATCTGTTCGATCTTCAATCTTCAAGGCCTGATCTTCTTCTTCTCGATTCAGCCTGTGGAACTTCTGCTCATGAACCACAAGTGAACTTTGCAGCCCATCAATTGAGAGGGTGTATGTGTCCTTCGACTCCTCGATAGACACCACCACATAAGTGAATCTCTCAGTCAACGTCCTCAAGATCTTCTCTACCACTTTGGAATCCGGCATGGTTTCACCATTGCTCCTCATTTTGTTTGCCACAGCCATGACCCTAGCGAAATACTCAGTGATTGTCTCACTTTTCTTCATCTCCAACACCTCAAAATCTCTTCTTAAAGCTTGAAGAAGAGACCTCTTAACTCGAGCATTCCCACCAAATTTCCTCTTCAGTGAGTCCCAGACAACCTTTGAGTTGTGTCTGTCCAGAATTTGCTCGAAAGTAACTCTGTCGATGGCCTGGTACAAGTAGTGCTCCACCTTGTGATCCTTGGTCCTTGTATCATCCAACAACGATAGCTGCACATCGGTCAACCCTGTTTCCGTTCTTGGTTCCTCGAAACCATTCTCTATGAGACTCCATAATCCCTTCGATCTGAGGAAATTTTCCATCAGCTCACCCCAATGGTCATAGTGGACACCATCAAAATGAGGGATCTTTGTCAAACTCTTATCCTCACTCATCTCTCTCTCTCTCTCTGTTTCTCTCTCTAAGTTGCGACTTTTACTCTATTCTCAGGCCCAGTGGGGGCTCTGATAACAATTTGTTGGGAATGAGAACTTTGCAACACACTTAAACTTATGAAACTGGATTGAATGCAACCAACAATTATTCAACTACAGCTCTGGCTATTATATAGCCTCAGACTTTAACAAACTGAACTGAAAACATGCTCACGTATCGGCTACACGCAGCCACGTGTTTTAACAGAAAGTAAAGACAATATCAAAGCATAACCTAATCCTAAGGACTGGGTCTTTATTCAACTGACTAACAAACCTTAAAGACTTGGACAACGCTCTTCAGTTACAAGCATTTCGTAATAGCATTGTATGTTATACAAGCATTATTATAATAGCAATCTGGACTGCATTTAAGAGCTATAATTTCTAGACATGGTACTGAAATTGCTGCAATTTGAGTAAAAATTGATAATTAGTTGTAAATATTTTGGAATCTATTGATGAATATGTAATAAAGAAATGTCTTAGGCAAAGCTTGAAAATCAATAGAAAGCATTGTATCTGGAATTTCATGGTGTAGCAATGGATTTGAATGGATTAAGATTTCGAATTTTATTTAGCAGTTGATCAGGATTCCAAATTTTGATTTGAAGACTAAAATGAAGGTTTTTTTTCCCCTAATTAGTTGGAACAGGAGAAGTTCTTATTGATGGAAAACAAACTGCATTTGAAGTATTTATGGATGGAGTTCAATCCTAGGGATGAAAATTATGTTTGATATTGGTGGAAATAGGTAAAGTTTGGTTATGACTTTGATTTATTTTCTTTTTGAGGTCATAATTACGATTGATTGTTTGGAAATTCTCAAAATGCCTGCTGTTATTGTTGTAGTTAGTTAAATCCTTTTTGCTATTAATAATAAATAATTTATGATCAATGGAGACTTAATTGAGCCTTCAAACAAACAAGAGTGAAGTTTATGGGTTAGCCCTTTATGTTGCTAAACCGCCAGTGGTCATAGAAAGCTTTACAATCGTTACTAATTTCCAATAGATAGAAATGTAATATATAATATGTTTTCATTTAGTGTCTTAGTATCTAATACATTTGAATAACTTTATAATAAGTTATTCATGGTATAAAATAGTATACATATTTTGTTTTCATTTTAATTATATGATAGGTTATGATGAGGATCCAAATTTCGTAGATTTTGATAACGATGTTGCATATGATCAAGATGATATGTTGTACGACAAAAATGTGACAGATGAGATTGAAGCAGGGTTGGATGGATGTGAAAGAGGAGTGGAGGACGAACTGGTCGAGGGTAATGACTTTGAAGGAAATGATTTGATATATCCATCATCAAGTGAGTATTGTCCTAATGCTCTTCCTATGAAAAGAGTATTTATCAATTTCTTGTCAGGAATGAAGAATCCAGATTTTGAGGTTAGACAATTATTTTGTTCTACAATTGAGTTCGAGATGCTGTGAGAACATATGGTGCGATCAACAAATATAATATGAAGTTCAAGGTAAATGAGGATAGAAGAGTACAGGCTGCTTGCAAAATAGGATGTACATGGAGGATATGGGTATTTGAAGTTTATGCTTCCAAGAGACTATAGGTGAATCTTACATGTCAGAGCATACATATAGTTGCGACCAATTTATCAGACATTGCAATTACATTTTTGAAACAAAACATTATATTGAACAATTCAAGGTAGACCTCGATTGAAAAAACGGAACTTATTTTGGGGACGGTAAAAAAAGATTTGCGTAAGGATATTAGTTGAAATGTTGCATAGAAAATGAGAAGATATGCCAAAGAGATATTGGTAGGGACTATACAAATCAATTTAGGCTTATGAGGTCTTACGCAGCTAAGATACTGCGTACAAATGTTGGGTTTACCATGATTATCACATTACAGCAACAAGTGTTCCAGGGGATCTATATTTGTTTCAATTGTTGTAAGATTGGATTTAGATATGATTGTAGGAAGTTGGTCGAAGTTGACGATTGTCACAAATGGGGTTGTTTTGGAGGAATGTTGCTAATGCGGTTGGGCTTGATGCTAATTATTGTATATATATCTGATTGCGTATGCTGTTGTTGAAAGAGAGAACGTGAACATGAACACTTGGAGATGGTTCATGAAGTATCTTGCAGATGATATTGGGATTGACAATGGTAGAGGTTGGACATTGATGATAGACAGACAAAGGTTTACAGAATGTGATAGAGGGTTGGTTCCTAAGGCTGTGTACAGATTCTGTGTACGACATATGTACACAAACTTCTAAAATCAAGGTTTCAAGGGAAAAATTCAGAAAATTACATATGGCGTGCTGCAAAGTCGACAACTATCCTTTACTTCTGACATTGGATGCGGCAAATTAGGCAACATAAAGATGTATACAAATGGTTGATGGAGAGGCCTCCGAAAGAATAGAGTAGGTCTCATTTCTCTATTCATGCTAAAAGTGACATCCTTTTAAATAATGTTTTCGAAGTGCTCAACAAGACATTGTAAAGTGATAGGGAGAAGATGATTATTACGATGCTTACTTCTATTCAATTAAGCTTTATGACTCGGATTTGTAAGCTTTGAGACAATATGATGAGATGCATGGGTCATTCATGCCCTACGATCAAGTGAAAACTTTACAAGATTGGGAGAAGTCTCGAGAATACACATTGCACTTATTTGGAGAGCTTAAATGGAAAGTTGATTGTAACGTTGGAACATATGTTGTCGATCTACAAGAATAAGCATGTGCCTGTAGAAAATGGGAACTAATTGGGATTCTGTGCATGCACGCAGTGTCTGTCATAAGGAAGTGTAGGAACAATCCAAAAAATTACATTGACAACTGCTACACAATTGAGACATATATGCTATAACAACATCTTGAACCCCATTAATGGGATCAAATTATGGCGACATGTGGAAGTCACGCATATAATTCCTCTTTGATGGATTGTCCCACGAAAGGGAAAGAGGTAGATACATAGGATAAAGGGGGCGAACAAAAATGTGGTTGTGCATTTGTAAGGAAAATCTTGCTTTCGAAGAAAGGGTCGGGTAAAAATGACATGTTCAACATGCGGAGCATGCGATCAAAATAAATGGTATCACAATAGAATGGATGCATTTGACGCCGATGCGAGCATAACATTGGTTTTTTACAAGCATATCTAAATGATGTAATTGTATTATGATTCATTTCTTTTGTAATAGGGATGGTTTGAATCAAAATTAAAACCCGTGGATGAATATTTCAATGTAGTAGGTAACGTATAGGTAAAGGTTTAGTCCTTTATTTTGTTTAAACTGATCTAAATATTATTCTCTTATTGAAAATTAAATTTTAATATTTGAGTATGTTGGTAGTATGTCCTATTCAAAAAGGATCAAAATAATGATAATTGAATAGATAATTGATAATAGCTTTTTAGGAAATACAATTTGAAACTTGTCATCGCAGCTAGTTGGCATATAGCAATATAGTTCAAACAAATCTATGAAATGAAGAAGCTTCACTGTCCTGTCTAACTGCACAATGAAAATATTTTTCAGCTAGCATGATAGTTGCACGTTGTATATTGCCTAATTTATTTCTATATTTCAGCTAGGATGGTGATTATATTTGTTTTGTTTTGTTTTTAGATGGTTTGTTTTTAATTAGAATGAATGCAGTGTGCAAGTTAGAAAGAAAATTCAACAACTATTTCTTCTACTTTATCTATTTTGCATAATCTCTCCTACTCCATATGATTTGAACATGAAGTTAATCTACCTTGTTTGTTGATTTATAGGAAAACGTGGTTGCCGAAAGAGTGCCACACAGGAAGGGATCATTGTTGACCCACAACCCAGTTGAAGGACAAAATTTCAATTCATGCCTAATTCCGTGGTGGTTAGAGAAATGCAAACCACGAGCCTAACATTTGGACTAACTGCCACCTTACCTAATGTCAATGTTCCTACGACCAAAATTATATTTTGAAGTGATCATTGATGAGTAGCAGAGCATTGGTGAATCGAAATCATCTCAATTGAGAGCGGTCAAGGCACAGAAAAAAGAAGTTATACGAAGATTTCGACAATCACATCCTTGCAACCTACAAGCAGAAGGGCGTGAGCAAAGTGAAGCTTGGCAAGTAAATCACGATTTTTGCCACTGCAGTTGAAGCATTTTATTGAAGAAATCATAATTAGGTGCTTTTGTATCGATATGTCATCTTAGAACCTAATGCATTGTTAATTATATGTTTTTGAACCAAGTGATAGGTCAATACATTTTGTTGGCTGTTTTGTGTCCAAAAAAGTCATACGAACAAGTAAATCTAGAAGGGCGCACTTTTAGTATCTTTATTTGTTCATGGATGCAGAGCCGGCCCTGACAATTCGGAGGCCCTAAGTGAGCCGACAATCTTGAGGCCCCATACTTTATTTTTCTACACGTATAACAATATTTCAATAAAAAAAATAACCTAATGCATTGTTAATTATATGTTTTTGAACCAAGTGATAGGTCAATACATTTTGTTGGCTGTTTTGTGTCCAAAAAAGTCATACGAACAAGTAAATCTAGAAGGGCGCACTTTTAGTATCTTTATTTGTTCATGGATGCAGAGCCGGCCCTGACAATTCGGAGGCCCTAAGTGAGCCGACAATCTTGAGGCCCCATACTTTATTTTTCTACACGTATAACAATATTTCAATAAAAAAATCTATATTTAAATGAAAATTTTGTACAATATAAAAGATGGAATTGCTAAATAAAATATCACTTACAATCCGAGAGATTAACCTAGCATCATATTTAGTCTTCTCATGTTTTGAGATGCAAAATTAGTAATCAAACAATTCAAATCAAGTTTTTCCAACATTTTTTTTAATAGAAATCATAGATAATCCATTCAACCTCTCTTGTGACATAGTTGATCGAAGATAAGACTTAATCAATTTTAACTTTGAAAAACTTCTTTCAGCGGACGCAACAGTGACTGGGATAGTCAATAATATCCTGTAAGCAACCAAAGCATTTGCAAAACAACAATTCATTCTCTTAATGTAATTTAACACATCAGCTGCTCCATTCATTTCTGTAGATATTACTTCCCTTAAAACTTTCAACTCAGAAAATAATTCCATTCCATCGATATCAGATACTGTGTTATACTTCAAATAATTTTCAAGATTAATGCAACGGCACTTCAATGTAGTATCATCAATGGATTTAAGCTTTTCCAAATCAAATAAAAATTCAAAAATATCGTCATATTCCTGAAATTGTTCAAATCTATTTTGAAGCGATGACAGAGCTTGATCTACTACATATAAGAAATAATTGACCCTGAAAGATTCTTCA